TACAGAATATGTTCTCAGACCACAATTAAAATATTTTGGAAATATTTGATTTGACAAAATATTTCATTTGACAAAAGCATCAAATTCTCATGTTTTGAATTAAGACATATACTACAAAATAATCATATATCCAAACATTATTGAAAGAGAAATTTGATTTTTTTAACTAAATGAAAAGATATTATGAATCAAAACCTATGGAAGCAGCTAAACCATTATTAGGTGAAATTTATAGCCTTAAGTGCTGAAAATTAATGAGACTCCATCCATCTCAAAATTTAGAAAAAAGAACAAGAAAATTAATTTAAAAATTGAAATGAAATAATAAAAGAATAAGTTAATAAAAATGAAAAAAAAAAACATAATGTTTAAAGGTGGTGTTATAAAAAGACTAATAAAACTGACAGCTCCCTAGGAAGATGAATGAAGTTAAAAAAAGAGCACAAAAAGCCATTAGGAATGGCAATAAACATTAGGAATGGCAAGAGGACATTATGCAGTAATTAAGAAGAAAATAAGAGAATATTATGAATAATTTTATGCCAATACATTTTTAATTTGGATGACATGGAAAAATTATTAGAAAAGGATTATCTACCAGAAGGAATAGAAAAAGTAAATAGTCTTAAAACCATCAAAAATAAAATTAAATATGAAGTTGAGAGTTTCCCCAAAAATTAATAGAGAAGGTATGTGGATGGCAAATAAAGACATGAAAAATGCTCAGGATCATTAGTCATTGGAGAAATGTAAATTAAAACCACCAATACTAGTTTAGGCAAAGTTTTAAAGGGAAAAACAAAAAATAACAAATGCTGGCAAGGATGTGGGGCAACTGGGACTTTGGCTGGTGGAAATGCAGAATAGTACAGCCACTTTGGAAAACAATTTGGCTGTACCTTACAAGTTACACATGCTCTTACCATACGAACCAGGAATCCCACTCCTACGTATTTACACATGAGTAATAAACATGTACGTGCACTGAAAAGAAGAATCTGGCTCCATTTTTTCGATGTTTGCTGCTGACAGCTTTTAAGCCTCACCCCTCCCTTCCCCTTCTGCCACACTCCTGGGCAAGCTGATAAGATGTAAGCCCAGTACTCCCTTCCTCTGGTGGCAATGGAAGGTTCAAAGCCCCTGCCCCTGCCTGGGAACCCTCACCTTGGCCCCCACCCCTCACCACCATGAAAACTCCAAGCCACTCTCCTTTTAGGACATGTTTGGGCCTGCTTGGTAGCCATCCTGCTCCCCCTAGAAAGCTGCATTATGTGGGGAACAAGTCTTCTCATCCCCTTTTTTTGGTGGATGGGTGGCATCCTCACTCTCAACATCCAAACCAAACTTGGCAAATTTGTCCCTGCAGGGTGGCCACAATATCCACATTAAAGGCTTGTGCACGAATGTTTATACAAAATTTACCGATAACAGCCAGAAGCTGGGAATAACCCAAATGTCCATCAGACAGTGAGTGGATAAACAAAATGTGCTTTATCTACATAGTGGAATCCTACTCAGCGGTAACAAAGAATGAGGTCCTAACACATGCAAAGCACAGGCACATCTCAAAAGTTTCACGCTAAGTGAAAGAAGCCCATCCTAAAGGCCACGTACTCTGAGATTCCACTCGTAGGATGTCCTTGAAAAGGAAAAACTATAGAAACAGAAATCAAATCAATGGTTTCCCGGGTCTGGGTCTAAGGAAAGGGTATTGAACACAAAGGGCCATGAGGGAACTTTTGAGGTTGATGGAAATGTTCTATATTTCATGGTGGTGGTAAGTGCATTTGTCCAAATCCATTGAACTATACACTTATATAGGGTAGATTTTACCATAAAGCATGCCTCAATAAACCTGGCTTCAAAAGAAAGTTTTTGCCAAAAGAAAACTCTAGGAACATGTGGCTTCACTGGTACATTCTGCTAAATAATTACTGAAAAAAGTAATTCCAAATCTTATACAACTTCCAGAGAATAGAAATACATGAGGCAAGTGGGGCCCATTTCATATGTTTCACATATTTTATGTGGCTAGCATAAAATGATACTAAAACTTGACATTAAGAGAAAGAAAAATTATAGGCCAATGTCAATGATGAACATAGGTGCAAAAATCCAAGAGAAAATTTCAGTAAAACAATTCAATATTTTAAAAACAGATACTATATCATAGTCAAGATTAGTTTATCCTAGAAATGCAAGGTTGGTAAAAGATTAGAAAATCAACCAATGGAATTCTCACATTAACAGATTAAAAGATAAAAATCATATGATCATCTCAAAAGAAAAATAATTTACTAAAATCAATATCCATTTATATTGACAAAAATCTTAGCAAACTAGGAATAAAGAGCAAGTGTTAGTTTGAGAACTCCTTCTATAAAAAAGCTATGGCAAACACAATCCTCACTGGTACAACATTGAAATCTTTCCTTTTATAGTTAGGATCAAAATAACCCACTATTACTTCCGTTATTTAAAATTTTTACTATAGACTAAGCAATAAGGTAAATAAAAGTAAATTAAATTTTAGTGATTAAAAAGGATGAAACAACAGTCTATCCTTTTAGGAAATAAGATGATATATGTAGCAAATCCAAAATAATCAGTTAAACTATTAGCATTGATAAAACATTTTAGCATATTTGCTGGATACAAAATGAACAAATTAAAATCTGCATTTCCACATACCAGCAATTTATAAAATTAAATAAAAGAGACATTAATCACAATAGAATGAAAAGTTACAAGTACCAAGGAACAAATGTAATAAAATGTGTGCACAATCTTTTTAGGTGAACTTATAAATCTTTAATTAGCTCTATTAAAGAAATACTAAGTAAATAATGAATGTCATTTTCCTGGATTGGAAGATTCAGTGGCAAAAGTATTTTGGTATCTCTGGTAGACATATATTTTTAAGGCCATTCCATCAAAGTTTCAACTCATTGTTTTTTTCCTGGAACTTGACAAGCTGATTTTACAATTTATGTGTACATGTGAAGGACTAAAAGTCAAAAAATGAAATTAAGGTGTGATATTAACACTTATTTTAAAGCAAATTAAGGCTACAGTATTGGTGGTAGGATTAAAAAAAAAGAGAGTGAGGTAAAAGAATAGAGAACACAGAAACAGACCCATGCAAATACAGACATGATACAACAGAAAAATGACACTGAAGAACAATGGGAGACAAGGACAATCTTTTAAATAGATAAATAGTAGTGGCACAACTGGGTATCCATATGGGAAAAAACCGAAATCCTTCCTCAAACCATATGTAAGTATCAATTCCACGACATGTGCAAAGTAAACTATAAAACATTTAGAAGAGTTAGCATATAGAACAAATATTTTCTTGACTTTGTGTATGTTAGGATGCTTAAACCAGTCATAAAAGAACTACCCGTTAAGGAATAGATTTATAATTTAAATCCATTAAAATTTAAGATTGTTGCAATCTCATGATAAAACTTAAACAGATAGGGAGTTGCTTCTTATGAATTAGTAAAAAATGTGGTTTCTTGAGATGGAAACTACTCCTAGTGAAAATGCTGTGAATGCTGCTGAAATGACAACATGTTATTTAGAATATTGCATAAACTAGTTGATAAAGCAGTGGCAGAGTTTGAGAGGACTGACTTCAATTTTGAAAGAAATTCTACTGTGGATAAAGCACTATCAAACAACATTGCATGCCGCAGAGAAATCTTGAGCAGAAAGGTCAACCAGTGCACTTCACTATTGTCTTATTTTAAGAAATGGCCACAGCCATTCCCAGCCTTCAGCAACCACCACGCTCATCATCAGCACCATCCACATGGAGGCAAGACCCTCCACCAGCAAAAAGATTATGACTCGCTGAAGGCTCAGATGATTGTTAGCACTGTTTAGCAATAAAGTGTTTTGAAATTAAGGTATGCCCATTGTTTTTTTAGACGTAATACTATTGCATACTTAATAGACTTAATAGTTTTGTTAGGTTTACTTAGAGTAGGAACCCCCCAAAATATCGTAAAGCCTGTGAAACAAAAGCCACAGGAGTCTGGAGAGTCTGAGGTTGTAAATCTAACTTTGACCCCAGACGGCTGCAGCCACGCCACATCCCCATCCCCCGATAAAGACGAAGCTAGCCCTCTCCTATCTCTGCAGGTGTTACTCTCCGCCCAGAAAAATCCTCTATAAAACCCAAGGCTCTGCCCTCCCTCGGAGTGGATGCTCTTTTGCCTCCACCCATCTGCACCCAGATGCTCAAAATAAAACAGCATTTTGCTATACATGAGGCTTCGTGTGTCTCCCTCTCAACTCCAGACCTAACAAATGTAGTGTAAACATGACTAGCATATGCACTGGGAAACCAAACATTTTGTGTGACTTGCTTTGTTGCAGTGGTCTAGAACCAACCCCGGTGATCTCTCTGAGGCATACCTGTACGCCAGTCCCAGAGTCTTTGTGCTTTACTAAGTCCAAAATTATAAATGCTACACACTTACAGAAATACCATTTGAAGGTTTAACTACCTATAATTCTTTTGTAATTAGAATTATGAATTTTGAATAATTATTTTGATTTTATGTGTGTAGGTCCCTCTGATTCAAAATGGGACAGTAATAAAAAACTTACTATCCAAAATTTACAAAGCTAATTAAGTGTAAAAGAAACTTAAGTGCTGTCCCTGCATGGATATTAAGACAAAAACGTGTGGGAAAGCTGAAGTTGAGGACGAAGGAGATTCTGAGAGTAAAAAACCCTGGGACATGGCCAAAATTCCAGGGTCAACTTCAGATTTTCCAGGGCTATAAAATAGGTGGACCTCAAGCCAAGATCTCCAATGGATAAAAGGAACCAGGGAATATCTGGTCAGGGGGGAGGAATAGAAAATTGACCAAGGTCTATATCTGACCGGATGAGAGGATGGAGTCAAAGGCGGGCTCTGGAAGGCCCAGGGGCTGGAGCGACGAGCAGGGCTGGGGTGGGGGAGGGGCCGTGGTCCAGCCCCCTCCTCTCGCCGCCCCTCCCCCACCCCAGGAGCCCTCTGTGACGAGGCCACAGCTCTGTGATGCTGCCTGGGCCCTGGTCAAAAGGCCCAAAGGCAACGCCCAGGGCTCAGTTGCTTTAGGGCAACAGTGCGATTCAGAAGATGGAGAATTATCCGTTTCCTCTGAGTAGCGTTAGTGATTCATGGCTGAAGCTCAGCTCCTCCGCCTGGGTGACGGATCTCATCCTGGGCATCCTGTGTGGCCTGGGGCTCTTCCTGCTCCTGCTCCCCTGCCTCGGGAGCGGCCCGTCCTCGCCGCCGGCCCGGCAGAAAAGGAGCGTCAGGAAGGTAGGCGCCCTCAGCCCAGCCCCGACACAGTCATCCTCTCCTTCTTTCCATTGTCATTTCCACGTTTCCGAATCAGACGGAGACTCCCGGCTGGGACGCGGGCTCGTCCTCTAGGCGCGCGCGGGCGGGCGGGCGGGCGGTGTCTGCGGGAAGCTCTGGACCGCCCGGCGGGCGGCGCCACCTCGGGCCTCAGGGCCAGCGCGGCTCCCGACAGGAGAGGAGGTCTCTGTGGGAGGACGGAGATCTCTGTGGGAGGACCAGGATCTCTGTGGGAGGACGAGGATCTCTGTGGGAGGACGGAGGTCTCTGTGGGAGGACGGGGATCTCTGTGGGAGGACAGGGATCTCTGAGGGAGGACGGAGGTCTCTGTGGGAGGACGGAGATCTCTGAGGGAGGACGGAGATCTCTGTGGGAGGACGGAGATCTCTGAGGGAGGACAGAGGTCTCTGTGGGAGGACGGAGATCTCTGTGGGAGGACGGGGATCTCTGTGGGAGGACGAGGATCTCTGTGGGAGGACAGCAATCTCTGAGGGAGGACGGAGATCCCTGAGGGAGGACAGAGGTCTCTGTGGGAGGATGGAGAACTCTGTGGGAGGATGAAGATCTCTGAGGGAGGACGGAGATCTCTGTGGGAGGACGGAGGTCTCTGTGGGAGGACGGAGATCCCTGAGGGAGGACGGCCCTGGGCCCTCGCTCATGAGTCACCACCGCCTTCCCGTGGCTGGCGGCCCCGCGGCCCTTCCTCTGCGCGGGGCGACTGCGGGCTGTGCCGAGCCCGAGCGCCTCCCGCCAGGGCTGGGCGGCTCTGGCCTCCTCGGGCAGCAGAATCCTGGCGAGGCGCAGGGGGCGAGCTTCTCCCGCAGAGGAACAGTGACGCAAGACACCGCGGTCATTCCATGCAGTGTGTCCCTCCTGTGTTCTTCAGAGGAGGACAGAAAATATTTTCCCTTCACTTTAAAAATGAGTGAAAGCAAAGAAAAAACAAACGCAAAGCGACACTAATTCGGTGCCGAAGGTCACGTCCTCCATGAGCGGGAAGGCCGGCAGCTTGTCTGGGGGGCGGCGAGGACGGCCCAGCCCCTCAGTGTCCCCGTCTCTCGGCCGGTCTGGGGGGCGGCGAGGACGGCCCAGCCCCTCAGTCTCCCCGTCTCTCGGCCGGTCTGGGGGGCGGCGAGGACGGCCCAGCCCCTCAGTCTCCCCGTCTCTCGGCCGGTCTGGGGGGCGGTGAGGACGCCCCAGCCCCTCAGTCTCCCCGTCTCTCAGGCGGAGAGGAGGGAGCGGCCCCGGAGCAGGAAGAGGAGCGGCCCTCTGAAAGGTAAGGAGCTGCTGCTCCGCCCCGAACCCCAGAGGGACTTAGCCTGGCTGTCCCTGAAGGGTCTGCCTCTGAGGAAGTCAGCTGCAGAGGCCTGTGGGGCATCCCGGGAAGGAAATCAGAGCGGGATTTTCTCAGATCCCGCTGGGCGTGAAGCCAGGTGGGCGGGGGGCAGCTGCCCTAGGGGCCTGGAGCGGAGGTGGGGCCTCCAGGCCCGACTGTGGACGGCTGCTCAGCCTGGCAAAGCCTGGCTCCTCTTTGAGGGACCCTGCCTTCTGCCGCACAGGGGGTGTGAGGACCTGGGGGATGGACGTGGGAGCACTGTGTACAAGGTAAAGCACTGAGGACCACGCTTCTTGCTGCCATTCCCGGTGTCACGTGGGCTGGGACACTGAGGCATGGGCTGCAAGGTCCAACCCCCCCAGTCTGCCCTAGAGGGACACTCAGCCTCCTGTGAGATCCCCAAGCCTCTCCCTTCCCACCTAACTCAACTCCTGATTCCAGCTTGTAGAGACTGCCGGAGGGAACTGGATGGGGCTTGGGACCTGACTTTGCTTCTGCAGAGGTGAGAACCCTCCCCTTCTCTCCCAGTCCCTCCGTCAGGGCCTGGGATGCGACCCCAGGGCCTAGGACTGACTTGGGAGGGGAAGATCAGGGAAGCCGCTGGGATGTGACTGTAGCCCTGGGGCCAGGGAGAGGCAGAGATTTGTGATGTCATTGTGGGGGCGGAGGAGGGGCTGCGGGCTGCAGGTGCCCACCCCTGCCTGGCCCCCAACCCCACCCACCCCTGCTATAGCCTGTGCCTCCTGTCTCCTGCAGCTGCCAGGTGAAGCTCCCTGACAAGGGGGGCTGTCATCAGGTCTCCTGTCCAGACCCCCCGGGGGAGGAGTGCAACCCAGCATCTGCCAGCGCCCACCGGCCACGTGCGGAGCGTGTGCAAGATGCTTCGCCCACCACCTCGTCTCCACTGGCATCGCCAGCTCTCCTGGCCCAGAGCCCTCCGCCTCTGGCCTCCACGCTGTCTCCAGGTCCGACAGCCTCCCCAGTTTGTGCTGGATCATCACAGTCATCCCTGAGTGCCGCCCAGCCGCCAGAGCCTTTGCTGCCCCCAGAACGCCCCTCACCCCAGCCACAGGCGCTTTCCCCTCCCACACCACGGTCCCCTGCTCCTGTGGCCTGCCCTCTGCCTCCTCCTGACTCCAGCCTGGCTCATGCTCAGTGTGACTCAATGGCGCCCCCACTGGGCACTGTCCCACAGAGCTATTCTCCACACTATAACAACTGTTGGTTGCCTCCTCCCGTCTCAAAGATCTCAGACCTTAGTTGCACAAGTGACACCGTCTCAACCCTCACCTGGTGGCAGGTGGCTGCCAGAACTGGCAGGGCCTGGAGCCTCTCCACCTCAGCCGAGAGCAAATCCCAGCAGGGGCATCTTTCCAACCGCCCACCAGAGGCTTCCTTCTGGGGGGACGCCACGCACAGGCAGATGGAGATTCGTGGCCCCCCTTTCATCCACACTGACGTCCAGGACCTGCTGGAGACGCTAATGGGTAAGAGGAAGGAGAACGAAAAGGAGGGGTCATCTCTGAAACAAGTGAGCCCAGACTACCCCCGGGGTTGCCTGGGGAATATAGTGAAGTCGCCGAGCGGAGATCAGGACACAACCCCACAGCGCTTCTGCAACATGACAGGCAAACCAGAGGAGCTGCCGGGTCCCCAGCAGCTCTCCCATCCCAAGGCCAAGGGGGACCATTTACAGCAGAAATGCAGCCAGCTCTTCTGGGGCCTCCCCTCTCTGCACAGCGAGTCCCTGGTGGCTGCTGTCAGGGCCTCTGGTCCCCCATTAGAGTTCCCCTCTGTTGTATTCAATGGATTCTCTAACTCCTTTACCGTACAAATTCAGGCTAAGCTACATCCACAATTCCTTCTGCCCCAGTCCTGGCCCCACCACATGGCCCTGCCCCAGCTCCCTCTGGCTGGGATCCACCCCCAGGTCTGTCTCCCACCCTCTTTCTCGACCCCACTGTGCTGTTCACCTCAGATACCTTTCTGTGGAGCATCTTGCCCAACAGTCCATACGGAGGCCCAATTTCCTATCCCAACTGCTGTTCAACAACTAGAGTGTCACCTTCTGAAGAAGCAACAAGAAAGCAGGAGGGCCTTACCCACTATAGTGAAAAATTCTCAGGAACTCTTTCACCAGCTCGCTCCCGACAGCTGGGCCTCCCAGACCCACGAGTCAGTCTCCAGCGGCCCAGGAGATATAATCAACCCTGAGCGCTGGGAGCAACATCCACAAACAAGCTTCACACGACACCGGGCCACACTGCCCTCCAGGAACCAGCTGTCTCTGGGCAGGGCACAGCCGTGGGGCAGATTTCCAAGGGCAGGGCAGGCAACGGAGAAGCAAGGGGACTCCTGGCCTTCAGCCTTTGCAGGTGGAAGCAGCCAGGATGTACAGGACATGGAGTCCGAGGGCCCAGCAACATTTCAGATATGGAAATGCCTGAGCCTGGATCTGGGGTACTGTCCAGGGAGTGACTCAGATCCATCTTGCAATTCAGACCACTCCCTAGTGGTGCTCCCAGGGGCCAGATCTGAGGAGGAGTCAGAAAGCGACTGGATGAAACCCTCAAGAAGTGACACAAGAAATGACTTACCAGGAAGCTCAGACAAGGAGCATGTAGAAGACATCCTGAAAGTCCACTTGAGCAGGAAGTTGGGGCAGATTAAGGGTGGCAAGATCCCTGTGAGTGTTCGTCATTCCAGGCTTGCTACTGACCAAGCCTTGGCCCCTTCTGAAAACACAAACACGCATGTGGAAACTGGCAATCTAGCATCCTCAAAGGGTCGGGAATCCTGTGAAGACACCTTGCGGGAACTTCTCCTTTGTCCAGGCCGTAAGCCTGTGCTGGAAGCACATGTTAGAAGGTTTCGGGTGAGGCACAGGTGGGGCCTGCCCCTCAAGATCCTCAAGACGAAAAATCTCTTTATGTTGAGAAAGGCTTAAGCCCCACCCCTTCCACTCTCCACCTTTCCCTCCTGGGCCACCTGTGAATCTAGGGACAACTCTATAGCCGAGGTTGTCAAGTTCCTGGGAAAAGATCCTTGGGAAGGTCCAGGAGAGGAGAAGATAATAGAAAGTCAGTCCTCACCCTGACTGGTCTTCTCCCTGCCCCCTCACCTGTGGGAGAGAGTGTCCAGATGGACCTGAGAGGGACCCAGTCTGGTGACGACTGTGGACACTCAGAAGCTCCTTCTACTGCACAGGAGGGCAGGTGGCCTCCTCAGCCCCTCACATGCAGAACCTGGCACAGTGAGGCGGTTCTGGGGCCCAGGAGAGGCAGCCCAGAGTGGAGTCCAAGTCCAGCAATGCCAGGAGTGAGCCATGGGAGGAAGAGGAGAGCGTGGCCTCAGGAGACTTCCATCATAGTGAGTCAATGCTGCAGCTCACCGTAGGGTCCCAGTCTTCAGGGGCCGAGGAGACCAAGGAGCCAGTGGAGGCTGAGGAAGAGAAACTCCCTGCTTGGGAAGCCACCTTGGGAGCCAGCGTGAGGGCAGACTCCCACACCCTTAATGTCAACCTGAGCTCAGGGTCTCTGAGCAACAGCAAAAGCTCCCAACCCTCTATCGTTTATGTCCCCCAGGTGCCAGAAGAGCTATGCCTTAATGCTCCAAGTGTTAGTGAGTGTGGGCTCGAAGTGGAGGTGGAGCCAGAGAACCAGCCTCAAGGCCCTGCCCCAGATGTCCTCCTCCAAGACCACACCACTGGTGTCCTCTTTGAAGACTGTGACCCTGACGTTCTGGCTGTAGACATCTGGGCCTTTCCGGCCACTCTGTCCAGCCCCCACAGCAAGTCCACTGCTGACACGGGGTAGCCACGTGAGAGTCTCAGCAAGCGTTCTGGCCCTACTGACAAGAGACAATGCTGCAGGAGGCCCAAGCCAGGGGGGCACAAACAAAGGTCTACAAGACCAAGGACCTCCCAAACCAATGGTATAAGCCGCCCTTCCCAGGACAGGGAATTAGCACAGCCACTAAGAAGCAAGTCCTTCCAGCTCCTGCCAAATGAAGGATAGGCTCCTACAGGAAGCTGCTTTAGGAACAAGATGAGGCAATTTCTGCTGTGGATTTTCCCCAAGAAAAACACAAGGCAGAGAGAGCCCCGGCAAAACCGCAAGCCTGCATCAGCCACTGCCCAGTGCTCGGGAACGGTCACAGGCAGATCATGTATGGACGCCAGATCGGATGAAGTGCAGGAGCTCGTGAGCACTGTCGGACAGATCCTAGAGGAGGAAACTGGACCTAACCATGAACTTCCTGCCTCGAAGGGAAATCGGTACAGAGAGGAACTCCAGGCCACAGTGGGTGGGCGTTGCAGCTACCACAGAGGCCCCTCCTACCCGCAGCAAAGGAGAGTGATGAGTGATTCTGCCTGCAGTCACCAAGCCACCCCCGTGGGCCACAGTTCTCCTGTCAAGAACAGGTGGGTCTGAGACAAGAACAGCAACCAGCCCCCCCCAGCCAGGCCCTGCCAGCATTGGCCAAGGGTGATAAGAGCCTCCAGCCACGCTGTCCACTGCCCCAGGCACTATTGTCTACCTAGAGGTGTCTTGCCTGGTCAACCAGATCACACTTCTCCCACCTTTGCTGGTGAGCAAACCTTTCAGAAGTCCAGTTCCGGCAGAGAAAACAAGTTCTGTCCTATGGCAGGACATCCCCAATATGCTAATGGCTCCTCTTACTGAGATGTGTGATCCTTCCAATCAGATTGTGTGTTTTCTCATCAGAGGTGGTGGCTTCTAGAAGGGAGGGGCATGGGGGAAGCTGAAGGGGCCTTGCAGACCCACCCTCACCCCGGGGTCCCTTACGGCACCTTGTTTTCATTGCTCATTCACTACAGAGCCTTCAGGACTGCCAGGACGGGCAAACCCTGTGGAGACACCACCCTGGGACCTGGCTCACCCATCTTTCTTGCTTTCCCTCTGCTGTGAACTTCATGCGGCAGTGGGGGATGGGTTTACAGAGGCCTCTTAGGGTGGAAATTACCCTCGGGCTCCAGGAATGTGAAGCCAAGCAGCCTCCACCCCCAAAGTGGGCCAGGAAGTTTTGGGGGTGGGGTGCTGGCCCTGGGTGTAGGGGCAGACGGATGTGGCCCCCCTGACATTCATGGTAGGGATCAGACAACCCTGCCTACAGTCTCCCCTCCCTGCCTGCTAAAGGCTGGGGCAGAGATGGGCCCGGCTGGCCCCTCAGGGCTCAGCATTGGTGACAGGAGCACTGCCCTCTGGCATGACTGTGTGCACAGGGGCCATGGGAGGGTGGCACATGGAGGAAAAGGGTGGGACATGGGAGAAGAATAATCTGAGAGGCGGGAGCCAGGAAGGCAGTGGAGCTCATAGAGTCCCCTATGTGGGCACCCAATGCCCAGTGCTCCCACCAGCCAAGGGGGTCAGGCTATTACACCAATGTGGAGGGCAGGACCTGGAGACACAAATTCCTCACGTGAGGTGGTTTTCCCCATGGTGTATGTGACCAGCCTGCCCACCATCCTTCTGTAATTCCAGAAAGGACCAATGGATGTCTGACGGGATCCCAGTCTAGTGACCATTAGAGACAGTTGGTCCCGGGGTTGCTCCTGGGGTGGGGAACTTGGAGGGCCAAGGCTGGCTGGGGTCTACAGTGAGCCTCAGGGCCTTACCTGCCCTTAGGCCAGCAGGGTACAAGGAGAGAGATGTGGACACACAGAGGCCAGAAGGGACTGTCCCCAATTGTGGGAAGCAGAGGCAGGCACAGATCCTACACCTGCTGTTGTCACCCAGGCTGCTCCTGGAGCTGGTCTTATCTCTGTCAAGGAAGGGGAAGCCTACAAGGGGACCAGAGGCGAGGGGGCCCAGGACTCCAGGAGGGCTGGAGTCACAGGAGAGACCATACAGAGAGACCCCCACAGAGGCCCCTGCCAGAAACACGCACAGAGAAACCTCACACGGAGACCCCATGGAGAACCGCTATAGACACCTGACAGAGACCCACACTGAGAGTGAACTGGGAGACCTGACACAGAGATCTCCCCCAAATCCATCCTCCCAGGAGACCTGGAGGCTATGGCAGGAGCTCTCCCACAGAGGCTTCATGCACAGCTCTCAGGGGCCATCACACAGAGCCCCTAGACCCACAGAAAGCTCACAGATTCCCACAGAGACTGCACAGACACACCAGGTGGTATGTCTCACAGGACCACACAGTCCCCCAGGTGATAGCACTGTGACCTCATACAGAGCCCTCCACACCACCTCATGTTGCCCACAAACCTACAGACCCCACTACAGAAGCCTGGCACAGAGGTCCACATACTTCCCACACACGGCCCTCCCACGCAGAACCCACTTTGGGACCACGCACAGCTTCGAGTGCCCCACAGAGCCCCACTGCAGGTCTCATAGAAACCCCCGCTGCCTCACACAGTCCTCTACTGCTCTCACTGGGCCTCCCAGACCTCACAGAGACTGCCTAGAGAGACAACACAGAGATACCTCACTGCCACGTGGAGACCTAATCTTGCTCCAGAGATATCTTAGATAGACCTCACACCATTTCCCAGACACCCCACATGGAGAAGACACACTCTCACCCTCTCAGAGCTTAAAGAGACCTCCCACAAACGCCTAACACGGAGACACCTCTCATGGAGGACTTAACAAGAGATAACACGCAGAGACCTCCCACTGGCCACAAATCTCCACTGACCCATCCCACAGAGCCCTCATGAATTCTTCCTTAGTAGTGGACCCGAGTCCACTTAGCAAAGTGCCAACACATGAGGGACAACATCAGCTGTGCCCCATCCCAAGAACCGAGACACTCAGACATTGTCAACACTTCCCCCAAAATGGGGTTCTCTGCTTGGAGAATTGGTCAGGAATTGGGATTCTTTTGTAATGCTATTGCCTCTGAATAGACAAATTACAGATTCCACATGCAGACCTGCAAAATTCAGGTTTTCATTAGCCTTAGCTCTAACCCACAATTTGAAGAATCACAGATTTTAAACATGAATAAAATGCTGTCAACCATGAGTGAGAGAAAAATATCATTTATATGGTTTAAGTTATCACTAGTCTAATACTATCTGTGTCACACTTTTTTTTATTTCATTGGGGACAAGACCTGAAGAAGATAGCTGACTTCTTTATTTTGGAAACATGACAAAAACCGAAACCTTGTAGCAAATGGACCCTAGAAAATGAAATAAACCAGGAAAGAAGCATGTGGACTCACACTGGCCTCCTGGGGTGGGGGTGGGGGACTGTGCCAATAGTACATTCTTTTTCTTTTGCACATAACAACTTGTGTCAAGCTTGTGGGGTTTTATATTTTTAAATGAAACAAGCTAACATGTAAAGTTTTTGTTTTTACAAATGAGTCATATTTCTGACAATATTTTATTCTCTTGCAAAACTGTACTTATTAATATTATAGTGATATTTTGTTCCTTAAAATGTAGTGATACCCTCAAATGATGATATGCATGTGTAAAGGATATGACAAACTCCTAATGTTCAGCCAATATAGCTAAATGGATGAACTATTTAGGATTTGTATTTTAAATAATTCTAAGAAATGCACATTTTCCAAAACTCAGGAGGGCAGGCTCTCTTTTATATTCATCATAGGGCTAAAAAGGGATGCACTGCTTCAAATAGTTTGGAATGTTACAAAATATATCACTGAACCTATGCTTGAGATATACACATAACACAATAAAACTACTGGGAAGGGACACTTTAACATCCAAATTGAAGAAAGTGTATATTTAATCATTTGTATTAGAATAACGAAAGGCCTCATTTGTTATATGCCCCATACTTTCCAAAGAGTGCACGTTGGTGAAACTCCTTATTTCTTCTCATAAGCAATCCATTGTCCTCACCTTGTTAAATTCTATTTTAATAACATCTGTCAAGTGTGTGTCACTGGTTAAGTTTCTCAGATTATCCATCAGGATAAAAGCATCACTGTTCTTTCTCTAAAAGGAGCAAAGCTGACATAAGGGCCCGTTAGCCTACTTGTTCCAACTGGAAGTTCCCTTCTATTCTCCATAATTACACATTTATACCTATTTTTTTTACTTTACTCCCTTATAATGTCACTAAATCACAAAATGATGGAATATGATCATAAATATCCTCTAGTTCTCTATTTTTTTAATAGTGCAACTTAAGCAAGTAAGTTTAATCACAACAAAATGGGACCAATGAGGGAAGATTTCATATAGGAAATACTTTATGAAGAGTAGTTTTTTCAAATTGACTTCTTTAACAGGTTTAAACTAAGTGATTATCTATCAGGGTTTTGAATTAAAGTTGTTCAGAGTGGCCATAAAGTCTGAAAACAGACAAACGTCCATAAATAATAGTTGGCTGCTAAGACATGCTGAATGTGCTGTCCCTCAGTAGCAACTCACAGTTCAATAGGCTGTGCAAAATTGCAGTGAACGATGTGCATTAAAGCAATGTTCCCATCAGTCACTGCACATGCATCTGTCATTTGTTGCCTCAGATGATTTGTGTGTCCAGTTTTCATGGCATAAACTTGCACCTTTACCCCAGAAGAAATAATTAAGAGGGTTCAATCTTTTACAAAAATACTGTATTTCAAGACTTTATGACCATCTGCATTTTATTTTTAGTAATATTCACCTACTACAAATCTTACAGACATTTTACCATTTTACACATACCAAAAAGAATGAATATCAAAAAATAAGATAATAGAGACAATTAAAAAATTCCTTTGTTTTCAAAAATTTTCACACCAAAAAATTTTGCTGAAAATGAAGTGATGTTTTAATCTGCAGAGAGATAGCCCTCTAAATGACATTCAGGATCTATTATAAATGTGATTTTGAAATAGATTTTTATTTAAAGCAGGTCTCACACTAACTTTGATAAATCAGGTACTCCAAAACAGAATGTGGAAGGTGCCAATTATATGATGGCTTCTTTTTTTTTCTTTTCCTTTTATTTCATCATATTATGGGGGTACAAATATTGTTAGGGTTACATATATTGCCCCTGCCACCCCTCCCCCCCATGTGCCAGAGCTTCAAGCATGTCCAATCCCCAGGTGGTGCACACCACACCCATTATGTAAGTAGACACCCTTCCCCTCCTCCTCCCTCCCGCCTGCCCACCACCTGATAATTTTTTTGACATTTTGGTTACATTGTATATCTTTGCCTCTCCCTCAGAAGGGTTAGAGGTATGCCCTTCCCCCTGACAATGCTTGCCACATCCCTAAGATGTGGGTCTCCCCCTGCCCCCGAATCCCTGGTGAACACTTCCACCATTTGAACACCATAGTTTTAATCAGTCAGTACCAATTTGATGGCGAGTCTGTGGGGCCCACTTTCCATATCTTGTGTCGCCTCGCTTTGGATAACGGGCTTAAGCTTAATCCAGGATAGCATAAACGGTGCTGGCTCGTTTCTTATAATTGAGTAGTATTCCATTGTGAGCATATACCACATTTTAATTATCCACTCATGAATTGACGGACACTTGGGTTCTTTCCATGACCATGCAATAGTGAATTGCGCTGCTATAAACATTCGGGTGCAGATGTATTTATAATAGAATGTCTTTTGGGTAGATGCCCAACAATGCTACTGCTGGGTCGAATGCTATTTCTATTTCTAGCTGTTTGATGTATCTCCAAATTCTTTTCCACAAAGGTTGCACTAATTTGCAGTCCCACCAGCAGTGTAAGAGTGTTACTGTCTCTCCACATCCAGCATTTGTTGTTTTGGGATTTCTTGATACAGGCCATTCTCACTGGGGTTAGGTGGTATCTCATTGTGGTTTTGATCTGCATTTCTTTGATGATTAGAGATGTTGAGCATTTTTTAATGTATGTAGGCTGTTATTCTGTCTTCTTTGGAGAAGTTTCTTTTCATTTCTGTTGCCCATTTCTTGATGGGATTGTTTGATTTTTTCTTGTTAAGTCTTTTAAGTTCTAGATAGATTCTTATTAGACCTTTATCAGAGGTGTAGACAGCAAATATTTTCTCCCACTCTGTGGGTTGTCTATTTGCTCTACTGATTCCTTGGCTGTGCAGAAACTTTTTAATTTGATCAGATACCATTTGCTTATTTTTGTTGCTGCGGTGATTGCCCTGGGGGTCTTCCTCAAAAATTCTTTGCCTAGACCAATGTCTAATAGGGTTTTCCCAACATCTTCTTCTGAGATTCTTAAGGTTTCATGCCTTAGGTTTAAGTCTGTTATCCATCTTGAGTGAATTTTTGTAAGAGGTGAGAGGTAGGGATCTTGATTCACTCTTCTGCATGTAGCTAACCAGTTTTCCCAGCACCATTTATTGAAGAGAGATTCTTTTCCCCATTGTATGTTTTTGTCAGCTTTATCAAAGATTAGGTTACGGTATACTGATGATTTCATCTCTGGTGTCTCAGATCTATTCCAGATATTGATGCTTCTGTTCTTGTGCCAATACCAGGCTGATTTAACTATTATTGCTTTATAGTACAACTTGAAGTCAGGAAGACAGATGCCTCCCAGTTTGTTCTTTTTACTTAAGATTTCTTTGGCTATATTAGTTTTTTTCTGGTTCCATACAAAGTGAAGAATTATTTTTTTTAGATCTTCAAAGAATGCTGGTGGTATTTTGATGGCTTCTTAATACTCTAAAGCAAGCATCCTCAAACTATGGCTCGTGGGCCACATGTGGGTGTTTTTGCCCGTTTGTTTTTTTACTTCAAAATAAGATATATGCAGTGTGCACAGGAATTTATTCATAGTTTTGTTAAAACTATAGTCTGGCCCTCCAATGGTCTGAGGGACATTGAACTGGCCCCCTGTTTTAAAAGTTTGAGGACCCTTGCTCGAAAGGATAAAGACCTTTCCCAAATAAACTAAACAAAAAAGTAGTCATTCTACATAAAATGTTAATCCCTAAGAGCGATTCCTCTGTATAGACTACAATATTACTGTCATTTTCATGCACTTTTTCTTTATTAAGAAAACTCCCACAGGAAGACATATTTCCAGATAAACACAGCTATGTTTTCTGTCTTACACACACCATTGGCATAATACAACACATCCAGATCAAGATTGATCCATTTCATAGCTATTCCTGTAACAGGATCCATCAATCATTATCATTGTGCCCATGGCCAATGGATGGCTGCATTTCCCAAACAGGTTCATGTGTTCTCAGGTACTTAGAGGTTTGCTCTGGCGTCACTCCCTTGGGCATTGTGTAATAACTAGAACAGCCGATTTCCCCCAGACATGCATTCCAAACACTCCTCCTTTCCTTGTTATGTCTCTGCCTTGAACTTTGTGCAACAGTGACAGATGGGTTTACCCAGGCCTCTTAGGGCAGAAATTCCCCCTGGGCTCTAAGAATGTGGGAGCCAAGCAGCCTCACACTCCCAAAGCAGGCCAGGAAGTTTTGGGCCCTGGGTTTAGAGGTGGGGAGATTGGCCCCTCTGTCTCTCATGGTAGGGAACAGATGACCCTGCCTGGAGCCCCTCCCTGCCTGCTAAAGGCTGGGGCAGAGATTAGCTGTGCCTGCCCCTCTGGGCTCAGCCTTGGGGATAGGAGCACTCCCCTCCTAGCCTCTACTTTCCTCCATTTGAGGACTTCAGGCAAGATAGGGCCAGTGCAGGTAGGCACAGCAGAAGGCAGAGGCTGACCTCAGTCTGCTCAGTGAATCTTAGTGCTGCTTTCTCCCCCCAAGGATGCCAGGGGACCAGGTGGCAGAGGGATGTGGACACACAGAAGCCAGGATGGGCCCTCCACAACTGTAACAGAAACAAAGGCCTGAAAAAGAGAAAAAAAAAATTTATTAGCTGTCTCTTTAACCCCCGCCCCCCCACCCCGCCATCCCCCAACAGAGGCCAGGTAGCTGGCCTGAGGCAACTGCTGCCTGCAGCTGGGACTAATTCTTCAGTCCCATGCCCACTAGGTCATGACTTGGGAGTGGGAATGGCCTCTCCTTCTAAGACCTGGGAGGGAACTCAATTTAGCCAGAGGGCACCCATAGCCAGAGCAGGGCAATTCCATTATGGCAATATTTGATAGGGGACTTAAATTCACAAGGCAGCCAGCAGGGTCCTTTGAGATAGTCAAAAAGAAAAGTGAAAAAAGTCCCCCTAGGTTGATGTACAATCAGTGTGCTTTTTGTAAAAAGAAAGGACATTGGAAAGAACAGTGCCAGGGCTCCAGGTAATAAGAAAACCGCTGGAAAGCAAATGTTTTTTTCAAGTCCAGGACTCAGATGATGAAGGAAGGGGCCTGGGGCCCCCTGTCTCACTGGTGGCCCCGATCCAAATATCCCCACATGAACCTCAGGTACAATTGACAGTGGGGACTTGACTGGTGCCAAGCCACATGGGCAGAAGTGCTCCAGGGGTCCCACCTCTAGCCGCCACCCCAGCCCTCAGCACCAGCAACACACAGTGCTCCATGAGCCAGGCAGGGTGGAGGGTGGGGCCAGACAGTGGTGAGGTGGCTGCAGGCAGGCAGGCAGCAGCTGAGGAACTCCTCACAGCAGGCCCAGGGGGCGGACCTTGGAGAGACCTCCAGAGCTGGAGCTGCTCCCACTGCCACTTCAACAGCCACATCTGGCAGACCTGGGGGAAGGGGGGAGCATGGGGCGTGGCTCCAGAAGTGGCAGAAGCTCACCTCTGGGGGCATCACCAAGATCCTGCTGGATGAATACCAGGGCCTGGTGAGACATACAAGAGACTGCCATTGTGGAGCAGTTTGCTTTAAAGTTTGGGCCTCAGCAGACCTGCACATCATTACAACATTTATGAAAAGAAATCTATCAAAAGTGAGTAAGGCTGTATGGGCTGATGGGACCCCGAGACATAAAGAAAAAATTTAAATTCCCCATAGCTATGAGTATAGATTCATGTAGGATCTACATGCCATTAATGATACTGTACAAGTGACTATGAATTGGTACTCAGTCACATATGAATGGCAGAATCCTGAGACTAGGGTGGCCTTGTGGCACTGTTAGACTGTGTTGCCTCATGGGTTCAAAAAGGCTCTCCTGCCCTGTTTGGTGAGAAATTAATGGGGGAATTGCAAAGCCTACAATTAGACAGATTTGCAAACAGCTGGTTTCTTATCTGGGATTCCAAATTAGTAACTATGTGGGCTCCCAGGAATGGCGGCGTTCTGTTACAACTGGATCCCAAACTTTAGAGTAATAACAAAGCCCTTGTACAGGGGCCTTAATAGGACATATATTGAGCCCCTGATCTGGATCACAGACTGTCAAAATGCCTTTGAAAAACTAAAGCAGAATCTTATGACTGTTTCTGCTTTGCGGTTGCCTGACTTGCAGAAAGAATTTAGATTATGCAATCACTGAAAACAAGGAATGAGCCTTAGTAGTCTTAGCACAGGTGCTGGAAGACATCCCATGGCCAGTGGCATACTTGTCAAAGCCACTGGACAATATTGTGAGAGGATGGCCTCCTTGCCTCTGGACAGTAACAGCCACTTGCAAGTTGTTATTAAAGACTGTGTCTACTCTCAATCCTGCCACCCTGTTACCAGCCCAAGAGAATGAGCCTTTACAACATGACTGTTTAGAGGTTCTAGAGGCTGTCTATTCTAGCAGGACGGATCTGTCGTATCAGCTGATGCCAGAGCCAGACTGAGATCTTTTCACCAATGGGAGCAGCTTTATAAAAATTATCCAGAGAAAAAAGGTAAACTTTTATATAGACTCTAAATATGCTTTTATGGTCATACATACTCATGGTGCCATTTGGAAAAAAAGGAAACTCCTGATGACACAAAAGTAAAAATATTCAATATTCCACTAAAATAGTCCTGATACAGGCCATGGCTGAGCCCAAGCAGGTGGCCATCCTGCACTGTCCTGGTCAACAGAGAGAAACTTATGTTACAAAAAGAAATCAGGCCACTGACAGAGCTGCTAAGGTCACTAAAGGTGATCTGTTCCTTGGGGCCTTATCAAAGGCCCTGGCTAGATTTAGATCAAAATAAACCCCATTTAAAACTAAAGACTGGGACTCTGACATTTGGCATGGCACAGCTAAGTGGAGACAGAATTCTCATGGACTCATTCTCCTGCCTGAAGCCTTGGTTTGGCCTCTTATGAGACACCTACATAAATATGCACATTATGGGTGTAATGCCTTAATAGATTTGGTAGGACCTCATTTAAGAGGACCCTGTTTGACAAATAACTCAGATCTCCCTTTTAGGTGCTCAAAACACCTGCAACACAGAAAACCCAACATATGAGACCTACCCTTATGATGATTGGCAATTTCACTCTGATGCCTAAACTTGTATTAGTAGATACCTTTTTAGGCTGGGTGGAGGCTTAGCAGCACTATTCTTCAGAGCAACTTTAACTGCCTCAAACTTGAAAGAATTCAAATAAATGTCCACAAACAGGAGTCTTACTCTGTTTGTGCCGCTATAACAGAATGCCACAGAATGGGCGACTTGTAAAAAACAGAAATTTATTTCTCACAGTTCTAGAGACTGAGAAGTCCAAGAGCAAGGCATCAGCATCTTGTGTGGGTGTTCTGACTGCTTCCTCACATGGCAGAAGGTGGAAGGAAGCAAGCTGAATACTGCACACTGTCTCTTCATGAAGGACCCTACTCCCATGCACAAGGGGGCAGCCCTCACAGCCTACCTACCTTTTAAAGGCCCTACCTCATAATACTATCACAAAGACAACACTGGAATTTTGGAGGGGACACATTAAAGTAATAGCAACAGGTGAGTTCATTTTAGTGTATCCATACAATTAATTACTACTCAGGAATAAAAAGGAATGAACTTTATTTATGAAATAAATGCAACAAGATAAATGAATCCCAAAATAATTATGCTGAATAAAAGAAGCCACACAAAAATGTGTAGGCACTGAATGATTCCATTTTATATGAAATTCTAGAAAATGTAAAATAATCCATAGATCAGTGGTTTCCTGAGGATGGGGGAGGCTGAGAGAAGTGGGAAGGACAGGAGAAGAAGGAACCCCTTAGAAATGATAGATATGTTTATTATTTTGATGGTGGCAATGGTTTCATGAGTCTATACATACACCAAAACTTATCAAATTGTGCACTTTAAATGTGTGCTGTTTAGTCTATGCCAAGTAAACCTCAAAAAAAAAAACCAAAAACCTCCATAAAAATTTAGCAAAGATACTATTCAAGTATTTTGGGCAATGTAATCATGGTATGACACTCTTATTAAAAAGTTATGAAGCAGGCCGGGCGCGGTGGCTCACGCCTGTAATCCTAGCTCTTGGGAGGCCGAGGCGGGCGGATTGCTCAAGGTCAGGAGTTCAAAACCAGCCTGAGCAAGAGCGAGACCCCGTCTCTACTATAAATAGAAAGAAATTAATTGGCCAACTGATATATATATAAAAAATTAGCCGGGCATGGTGGCGCATGCCTGTAGTCCCATCTACTCGGGAGGCTAAGGCAGAAGGATCGCTCGAGCCCAGGAGTTTGAGGTTGCTGTGAGCTAGGCTGACGCCACGGCACTCACTCTAGCCTGGACAACAAAGCGAGACTCTGTCTCAAAAAAAAAAAAAAAAAAAAGTTATGAAGCAAAAATCCTATACCCCAAATGGAAAATAGAGATTTTTATATAGAATTTCCATAGTACCTAGCTAATTTTACATAACCATTCTTTTTGTTTGTTTGTTTCAGTTTCTAATCTCATTTATATATGCCTTTTTCATCCTTTTTCTTCTGTATGGTGCCAAAAATAGAAATCATTGATGATTCCAATGTCTTTTATGCTAATTCTCCAACTCAACACCCTGTACCTGGGGCCTATTGTTAATAGACTTTGTCCACCTTAATGAAAACATAAATTGCAGCAAAATATTGAGATTCAACTAGTTTATTAATATTTTAACAAAAATGTAATTAACTGAATTGTAAGCCAACAGGTAAGTGAACTGGACCACAGATTCAGTAAACAGGAAAGTGCCATAGGAACTTTTATCCTAATCCCTATGTGCATTCACACATGCAGGTGCTCAGAAACTATAAATGAGTGCATACTATGTGCTAGATGCAGTCTAAGGTGCTAGGGACATAAAAATGACTAAGGCACTGTTGTCAGAATTTGGTCTTGTCAAAATGTGCCTGCAGTGCACGGTGATGAGAGCTGTCCAACGAAGACAGGTTGGGACAGCACAGCCAGCGACTCAGTGGGCACAGAGAGAGGACCGAGATCCTGCAGCACTTGACTCTGTACGGGGAGACTAGACATGGACAGACAGTCCCCCAGAGGGAGGGGCAATGAACGTCCTCGGTGGAAGGAAGCCAGTGGAGCCAGTGGTTGTAGTTTAGCCACTGGGGTGGGAGCAGTAAATGAAGAGGAGCCTTCAGAAGACTGAGTGTTCGTGTGTGGTGTGTGTGAGAGTATGGAGGTGTTCATGGCATGTATGTGGGGTGTATGTGAGTATGGTGTGTGTGTCTGCGCTGTGTGCAGTGTGTATGAGAGTGTATGGTGTGTACTGCATGTAGTATGTCTAGCATGTGGTGTATGTGTGTGTGATGTGAAGGAAAATATGAAAAGTTTTACCCAGGAGAGTAATCTCAGCTGGGAAGTGACCTCTAGAAAGGTCACTGCAAGGGCAGGACAGCAAATGGATGGGAGATAAGGTGGAGCCAGGGAGACCATGAGACGACAACAGCACGTGCCAGAGATACAGAGAGTTTAAACAAGTCAGTGATGGGTGGCTGAAGAAAAGAGGACAGTAGCAAATCCAAGGGACAGAGCTAAACCCAAACTTTCAGAATCAAACAGCAGTGCTCTCCCTCCAAGGACAAATCACAAATGCTGCACAGTCTACACTGCTGGCCAGAACCTGTGTGTCTTAGAAGAATTTAGACAAAACAGTCAGATCCTAAGTAGCATAAGCTTCAGGGTCATGTTGTCCTGACAAAGACATCTGGACAATGACCTGGGGAGTCCTTTGCAGCTGATGGAAAATTAGGCAAAATTGACAGCAGTTAAAGATTAAAGTTGTTAATGGCAAGTTGTTACAAATAGCTAAAATCTGAAGGACTTATTATTTACAGAGATATGACATTATAGAAAGTCAAAACATATCAATGTACTGTAACAGTTTCTGATTCTGTACAAATAGGCTTCTTTTTAATAATCTTATTTGGTAGCATTGCTCTAATAGTGGGTATTAATGTTAATATTGCAGATACCCAGCACAAATGTTTTTCCCTAAAATATTGCTTATCCTGTGACTACCCAAGGTCATGAACCAAGGTCACTTTTTTTATTTTATACTTGACATCAATAGGAGCAACAATTACAGTTAAAATTCACTAAGAACTTATTATGTTCCAGGTATTATTTACTTATGTTAATTAATTTAATCTTCGTAACAGTTCAATAAGGTAGGTTATTATTATTACCTGTTTTTAGAGATGAGAAAACTGAGACACAGATGGGGAAGGTAAATTGCCCACTACTACGCAGCCGGCCTGAAGCTGTGGAACTGAATTTCAAGCCACTGTACTCCACTGCCTGTCAAACTGTGTATGTTAGTGGATTTTTTTAAAATGCTGCTGGAATCATCTTCATTTACATACCTCTACTGTGCCCCATTTATGTAATTCTGAAAATAAAATTAAAATCAATCTTCACTTGAAAATAGAGATAATTCTCTAAGCAATAGCATGGGCATGTGGTTATGCCCCTGAGCTAGTCAGTCATAAACATTCTCAAAGACTATAGCAGGTTTTGTTAATAGTAATGACCAACCATGAACAGACTCGGAATCCCCACAGCACAGAACAGTGGGGTCCCATCTGCAAGCACAATGGAAGCTCCCTCTTGCTGTGACAGCTACCAGAAACAAAGTCCACAGCTCTCATGCCCAGAGGCAGTCGTGACTCAAGTGCATTTAGCCTCCTGGGCACCAAAGAGAGAACTGGATGCCACGCTGAAGTCCAAAGGTGTCTGTCCACCTGCATGTCCTCGGCCCTGATGTGCATTTCCCTTCAATCCCCAGCCCCAGCCAGCCCAGATTCCAATCACCTGGTTCTCATCAGGCTTTCCCCGCTTGGATTAAATGCCACTTCAAGTACCAACCAGACACCACAAACCAGGCTTCTGGAGAGTTCCTGTTACACACTGCACACAGGCACCCAGTTCAGACCCTGAATATGGAGCCTGGCTCAGATTAGAGCTGGATTCTAAGGAACCCCCTAGATGTGGTAAATTTGCCTAATAACACCTGCCCTGTGCCTCCTCTCTCTTGCTCTTTTGTCATGGGTGGTGTCCTCAACACTGGCATTTTTCAGCTCTACCTCAGAGGCTCCTAACAGCCTTGGTTACAGGTACCAGGCTCCTTATTAAAGCTCGGGCCATAAAGCATGTCATGCATTGCTACTGAAAGAAAATAAAACCCTCAAAAATAAGCCAATGGATCTTTCCATGGATAAATGGGTTAATAGTTGGAGAGCTCAGGGATACTCACATGAAATTTCATTTTTATTAGACTACCTACAGGATGTTTATGAAAAAATACATATGATTATCCATCTTCTGCATACTTCCGAAACAGCATATTTTAAATGTATTAATTCCTTTATGTATTTGGTAAATACTGAGTGCCATCAGCAGACCGTAAAGACAAAGAAACATGGTTTTGTTTTCAGGAAGTTTAGAATCTAACACAGGAGGCAGACACATAATCAACCATCTGTATATGGAGCAGATAAGAATCTGAAAAATGAATGTTTTCATGACAGATTGTTAAACTATCTAAAGAGATTGTGCACTTCAGTTTCCTGTCAAGGTATTGCATGCAAAGCCCCTGGTGCAGGGTCAAGTCCTAGTCAATTGCTGGCTTGACCTCTGGTGCATTAGAAGGCCACACCCTCCTGTCACAGTTACTGGGTGAGAGCCCTCAAGCACCAGAGCAGATACCATGGGCGCTTGAAGTCAGGGAATAAACAGACAAGTGTATCATGTTTCCAGTGGCAATACGGGCTTTGTAAGGAAATGTGAGCCAACAAACCAAACCTCCCTTCTCTAAGTCCATTTGACTGGGTTTTCTGCCACTTGTGGGTGAGAAGTGCTTGCCAACACCCCATCATCCTGACACCCCTACTTCTTATACTGTACATGCAATCACTGAAGTGAGCAGCATCTCCATTCCGACTGCCATCTTCTGGCTCCACTCCTATTAAACTGGGGAATGGAAGCAAGATGGAAGATGACAGAGGGGGTGGATTCCCCGGAAGCAGTGTGGGAGGAAGGACAACTCTCCATCACCCAAATCCACATAAGAGGACGCAGGCAATCACCTGGCATCACAGCCCAGTTATCCTCCAAATGGAGGCTCACTCATGGTATCTACCTATGTGGGAGGGAAAGAGACAGTCTAGCTTCCTCCCTAGAGAATGGGACCATGATTAATGC